TGTCGATACTTCTGTATATCTTATTTTGACAAGTATAATCTATACAAATTTTTACTATTTCTTTCTTTCTCTCTCTCTCTTTCCATCAATTGCATTTCTCATCCTTCCGAGATTGAGACATATTACTCATCGTGAGATTATGAAATCATAGAAACAGCACAAACGAATACGAGACGTCATTTGTATTCAACATATATATGTAATATGATTCATGCATATATATATATATTTATTTATCTCATAGAATAATTTTATTCTAGTTTATTTTCAGTTATTCTTTGTAGATAAACTAAGAAATTAATTTATATATTTATGGGTGGAATTAATAGTTGTTTGCCATCATCAAAAGGTACATCAGATCGTCCTCGTCGTCGTTATGTCTTATCAAAAAAACGACATGATCAACCAAGTTCCAATATTCCAATAAATACAAATAATAATATTAATAATAATAATAATAATAATAATACAATAAATTTAAATCAAGTATCTGAAGATGAACTATTACTATTACCTGGTATTAATCGTCAATTAGCTCAAAATATTGTTCAATATCGTCAATTAAATGATGGTTTTAAAAGAGTCAATGAACTTTTATATGTAAATGGAATAAATCATGATTTATTTGAACGTATTCGATATGATTTATCGATTGAATCATTATCACCACAAATTAAACAAGAACTTATTAATATTAATTCAGCATCACATAATGAATTATATTCAATACCTGATTTAACACCAATACTTATACAACGAATAATACAACGACGTGAACGAAAAGGACCATTTCGTTTTATTGAAGATTTACTTAAAGTTAAAGGAATTGATTATGTGATTCTAGCTAGTATACGTCCATATATTACTGTTGATTATCGACAAATGCCATCATCAGTTAGTCAATCATCTATTCTTGATCCATCAAATAATAATCTTTATCCAACATTAAATAAACCGAATCTTAATACAACATCTGATTCACTTTCTCTTGCATCATTATTATTAGAAACTTTACCACCTGAATTACAAACAATACTTTTATCAATGACACCTCAACGTCCATTATCGATTTGTAAAGATAACCAGACATATTTTCGTTTTGCTTCATGGAATTTACAACAACTAACAAATGAAAAAGTACAAAATCCAGGTGTAAGAGAAGTTGTTTGTCGAATTATTCTTGAAAATAAGTATGAAATCAGAAATTTTTTTTTTGTTTTTATAAAAACTAATATTATTTAGTTTTTCATTGATCGGTATTCAAGAAATAGGAAATAAAGAAGCAATTGGATATATTGTTGAAGAATTAAATAATCCAACAATACCTCTAATTAAAGATTGGCCTAATCGTCAAAATGGAAAATGGAACTATACAGTTAGTGATGCTGCTGGTCGAATGTTTCAGGTAAGATTTTTCTCAAAAACTGTTTTGAAGATATTCATAGTAGAACAAGTTCTTTTTCCATTTTGTAATAATCACTATCAACTATGAGGATTTTCAGTATTGTTTACTTACATTTTATTATCAACGGTAACTCATATTGCAAAATATAAATAGTTGAAAGTCAAAGAATAAAAACACGCTATTTGATAGAGCTTAATGTTATCTATCTGCTACAGCTACTTCGTAATTCTCTAACTTCTATTTTTTTCTAAAAAAATCCAAGTTTTTATAAGGAATGCTTGGACGTATATATGCATCACCACGAGACCATAGCTGGGCTAGTACGGACTTTCTCGAGTACGAGTACCGATCCTTCGAGTACGAGTATGAGTACGAGTACGAGTGTCAGCAAAATCGTACTCGAGTACGAGTACTTCGAGTACTTTGCCCAACTCTGCCACGAGACAAAGAGTTCAGATAAGATATAATTATCAATGAGTATTAAGATTCTTATATTTTAATTTGAAGAAAATTATATTAATAATTTGTTTTAAAAAGGGAAATGAATATTTTGGTTTTATATATGATGAATCAATTGGTATTGAATTAAAACGAGCTTCATTATTACCATTTAAAAATTATTTTACACGTTCACCATATATTGTCATATTTCGTATATATAATAAATATGAATTTGTTTTTGTTAATATACATTTAAAAGCACGAAGATTAGATGAAAATGAAAATGAAAGAACAAAAGATGAAGCTTTATCATTATCAATATTAGCTGAAGCTATGAATGATACTGTTGGTAAGTTTTGAAATATTAAAATAAAAATTTATCCTTTTTCTTCTATTATAAAGAACAACAACATATTGTTATTTTTGGTGATTTTAATATGATTCCATCAGCATCAGAATTTGATGCATTAATTCAACGAAATTATTCTTATATTATTCAACAAAATACAAATATTAGTATGAAAACACCACAAGGATCAACATGTGTGGATAATATTTGGCTTTCTCCTGAAGCTAAAGCTTTGAGTACTGGTAAAGTTTGATTTTTTGTTATTGAATTAATCGAATTATTTCTTAAATATTTAGATAAATCAGGCGTTATTCGAGATAATCTTACGAGTATGTGGATACCTGCTGGTTGGACATGGGGTGGTTTAGTGAGTGATCATTGTCCGATTTGGATTGAATTTGATTTATCATAAGATATATTTTGTTTATGTGCAATAGAATTCTTAAATGTTTGTTATTGGCTTTGCTTAATTTTGTCTAATTTGTAAAGAAATATTTTTTTGTTTTATACATATATAAATAATAATAGTTTTTATTGAATAAAAAATTATACCAGAGAAATTTATAAAAAATAAAATGTATAACTTTAGATTTCTATGAATAATGTCTAATCAGATACCTGTAAGTAATTATGGTCTATGATTTAATTATTAAATATTAATAATTAAAATAGGTTCTTTATACAGAACAAAAGACAAAGAAAGTTAAAATATGGTTAGATGGATTTTTAGTTCCACGTTCAACATTAAATTCGGTATGAATAAATAATATTTTCGAATATATTTTATAATGAAAAAAAGAGGTTTTAGGCGCGTTTAATATCTGCTGGTAAACATGAAATAGATGTTGTGTTTTATTCCAGTATTGATGATGTAAGTAATATGTATATATATCATTGTAATCAAATCGATTTTATATTTATATATAAGATAAAACCTGGAAGAGAATTTGAAACTGATCGATATTTAATTAGTGTTGAAGAAAACAATGATGATAATCAACCTTGTCCTAGGCCAAGTTTTGCTGTTAATGATCCAACTATGAAAAATAAACCGAAATCAGCAGTATGTATACAAATTATTTTAAGAAAAAAAATATTAGAATTTTTAATTTAGGCATTTGTACCGCCACGTTTAGTACCTAAAGCGGAACCACCACCACCACCGCCCATATCAATATCATCATTAGAACGACATAATCCACATCAATGGGGTTATGCTGGAATGACTACAGCTATGAAACGTAATGCTTATGATGATGATGAGAATGAAAATAATTCAAATCATATTTCAAAAATAACAAAATCTTCTCATTTTATTCCTCCAACATTTCATAAACGTGAAGAAATTCAACCGCAACCAACAGTATTACCGACTCCACAACAACAACCAGGTTTATTAAATGATACGCTTATTTCTCGATTATTAAACAAACCCCAACCTCAGGAAATGTAAGTGTATCTAATTGAAATTTTATTAAATATATTTTTATTTTTCATTCAGTAAACCTTCACCTGTAAAACAAATTCCAACAATTTCTTGGTCAACATGGGATGATAAAAAATCTGATGATGAAGAAGAAACAGATGCAAATTCAATTACTCATGAAAAAACTAATCTTCAACAATTACCTTCAACAAAACAAACATATAATTGGCATAGTTTAGTTACATCAGCATGTGCAAATCCTCAACCTAACGATTCAGAAATCTTACCAAAATTTGATTTTGATGAAAGTTCTTTCGATACATTATTTGACAATTCCAATGAATAGTTATTAAATTACCAAACAAAAAAAAAACATGTCAGATATTTTTTTACATAAACAATTTTATTTTTGCCACAAATAAAAAGACAAAACAAAAAGCGTTTTCTTTTTTAAAATATATATATCACGGTTATATAAAATATTTTAACGACGGAATTGTACTAAATAACGAATAGCAACTTGTGATTCATCGTAAACAATATATTCATTATGATTAAGACCACCATAATAATTTCCACCATAATTTTTGTTATCGATTAATTGACCAAGTGGAATTTGTACACCTGAAAAATAAATGATCTATAAAATAATTATAATAATGAAGAAAAACATACCATCATTTCGAACAATTGTATGTTTGGGATCGGGTATAGATCGACCAACACCTTTTCGACTTTGATATTTTTTCAAATCAAGTACTGCATCATCATCTTTAGCTTCGTCATCATCTTCTTCCTCATCATCATCATCATCATTGGTTTGTACACGACTTGCCCCGACTTCTTTAATATTACCTAAAGCAACTTCACATAAAAGCATAAAACATCGTTCATTATCATTTTGTTTAACACCGGAACAATAACCAAGACTTTTTTTAAATACATCGGCAGTATAAATTCCCTAAATATAAAAATTCAACTACTATTTATTTAAGATTTCTTTCTTTACTTTTCCAAATAAACTTCCAGTTGCATTTGCTACTAATGAGCCAACAAGAAGACCTCGAGTAAGTATACTAATTAAATTACAAATACTCGTTCCATGCCATAATAAATAATGATTATTTAAATTACGTTTTCTCAATCGTTCATCTTCATTTGGTCGAGCAATTTTAAATATTTGTTCAATATCTATAGTAGGTTCACTAGCCCATATATAACGTAAAATAAATTGCGAATCAATATCATCTCGATTCATAGCTTCAAATTGACAATTAATTGATTTATATAAATAATCTAATGGTGAAATATTTTTTAAATTCGCCTGTGCACCTAATAACATTTTATAGGATAATTCAAGTTCAAATAAATCATCCAGTACTTTTTCTTGTGCTTTTAATGCCTCTATATTGTCAATAATAGGTAATTTTTCCTCGGAATAACCATTTAATGGTATTAATGTATAATATTCATTTGTATATTGATAAATTGATTGTTTAATTAAATATAATTCATTTTTTTGATCCGGCGTTTTTGTTGGAGAATTATTTTCATTTTGTTTTTCTAAAACATCTTTTAATGATATTAATAAATCACGTGCTTTTTCTAATGTTTCACGTTTTAATTGTGATACAGGCATCCAATCAATATCTAAATGTGTTTTATGAATGTTATGACGTATAGCTTGACGACTAATTAATGTTTGCATAAGATTTTTATAAATTGATGATTGAAGTTTTGAATTTGAATGTTGAGATTCCGCCGTTTGTAAACGATCAAAATCAATAGGTACATTTGAATGTTTATTTCGTTTACGTTTATTTAA